CTTATTTCTGAAGAAGGGTCTAGGCCCGAAACATCAGCCTTCCTGCTCCTCTGATGCTGCTTGGCCTCTCGTGACATCAGTATTTGTCCTTTAGACCAAATGTAATAAAAATGCCACAATAAAATGAAAGCTATCATGTCTATGAATGCTGAGGCAGGACTCAAAGCATATGATGTGACGCAAGTAACCTCCAGGCTCTGACCTACAAACTAGTTATTAACCATGTCCGGATTTTATTGGTTTCGCTGAGTTAGCTCTCAGAAGCCATGGTGAACAAACACAGTCTTTTGCAATCACTACCGTAAGGTGACACGCTAGATTTATATGAAGTTTTATGTTATTTAAACAGGTGAGATAATGTTGTCCTTTCCCTTAAATACTCCTGGAGGGACTTACTGGCTCATCCATATACCATATGATTCCAATACAAACAGAGAAGGTGCTGGAGAAGCTCAGCAGATCTGGCAGCATCCGTGGAGAAAGAAACAAGAGTTAATGTTTAAAGTCCAGCATGATTCTTCTGGACTCAAAATGTTCATTCTGTATCTCTCTCCACAGATGCTGCCAGGCCTGCCAAGTTTCTCTGGCATTCTCTGTGTTTGTTTCAGATTTCCAGCATTTGCAGTATTTTGCCTTTGTGTGATTGTGATATCTGCCTCATAAGCTACTGGCACACATGTAAAATAAAACACACTTAGCGAGAAGAAATCTGGGAAGTTTTGAACTTATTGCCCCTCCTTTTGATGATCTGAAGGAATCCAGGAGATCACTTTGCCTTGGATTAACATCACACCTTTTTTAACAAAGAGATCACAAGGTATAGAGCTGGATGAACACAGCAGGCCAGGCAGCATCAGAGGAGCAGGAAAGCTGACGTTATTTCAGATTCTCCAGCATCAGCAGTTCCTACTATCTCTGAGTGATTTTCTAACCAAGCTTTGGTTTGTAGGAATTCTAAGTCACAGTTCTGTTCTCTGATGCAAATAGGACCACCAACTCAGGTCTCCCTTCAGTTAACTTCAAATTGTCATACCCCCACCCCCGACCCCCCAATCCTCCCTAGCCCATTCAATCTAATCAAGTAGCTTTCGCGAGTCACAAGTTTTCTGGTTCAGTCCCACTGCTGGTCCCAATCATCCTGAAACAGTCTGAACTGAGATTCCACTGCAATACTGAGGGACTGCTGTACTGTCCAGGGAGCCACGTCCTGGATCAGTTATTAATCTGAGACCCCCACCTGGGTTAGTTCATCTGACTCTGAGGCATCGTTCCCAAAAAGAAAAGAGGATTTGCACTGCTCCCCTTAATCTCACCCATAATGATCCCTCAATCAACCAGGAAAGTAACATTAGTTGGGCCACAATAACTTTGCTGCATGCTGGAGTTTGCTGTGTGCAGGATGCATTAGTGAAATTCCAACAGTGTCTAGACCTAAAGATAAAGTACCACTGAGTTAAAAAAAAGAAACATTTTTGACATGCTAAAAATGCCACATCTTTCTCTTTTCTTAAGCATAAAGCAGCCCCTTCATCAACTTTAAATGCCCATTTTAAATCAGGCGATTACAATTTGCAGAACATTACACAGTGAATGGCTTTTGGAAGATATTTCTAATGAAAGATTTTCGATTTGAAATTCGAGGGTAGAGTAACGATTTTTGTTTGACATATACCCATCTTCTTGTGCATAGGATTTGGGAATTCATCCGTAGGGTTTAGTTCCAGGTAGCAAGTGGTGCTGGCTAGTTTGATCCTTTAGGAAAAAATTGAATTGGTGAACATTATCCAACTCCAGCTTTGAGTTGCTGGGTCTCACTTGGTGGCGCTGTTTCTCTGAATTTTGCACCGTCTCCTCAGATGAAGAGACACAGGAGGGGAGTGTTATCTTACAAAGAGGTCTCCATACTCCAGTAATGCTGTTCCTTCGGCCACAGCCATCCCAACACAAAGGAGAGTCGAACAAAGTGTGGAGATGGCGAGAGCTCCCTTAAATCCCGCTGGTCAGAAACACGTCCCAGTCTAGAAGTCTTAGAAGCAACAACAAGAAGAAAAATAAAACAAAACAACACCTGAACAAGTTCTCAATCCGGATTCCCCCGAAACCCAGACTCCAACACACAAAAAAACCAAGAAATACTCAGCTGGGAAGCAGCTCCCACTTTGCCTCCAATGAGATGGTGGCACTAAAGTGGAGCCTGTTTAAGTTAACTTGCTTAAAGAAATCCGGGATGAACATGAAGGTTAGAGCGAGAACAGAGATATAAAGACGCCCTTAAGGAAACAGCGAGCCGAAAGATATTTGACCGGGACATAAAGGAGTTTTCTTCTTTTGAAACAAACTCAACAACCCAATGTCCTTCCGGACGGCAGGGAGTGAAGAACGAGGTTTTGGATGGACTCTGGTTGGAAGGAACTGAAGTCCTGGACATGTCAGGAGATGGGAATTGCTCCGAGCTGGTCTCCTCGGTCGCTGAGCGGCCAGCGTCCCCAGAGCTCACCATGGCGCTGGCCACGGTGCTGATCTTCACCATCGTGGTGGACATTGTGGGCAATGTCCTGGTCATCATATCTGTATTCAAGAACAGGAAGCTCAGGAATGCTGGTAAGGTGCAGCCACAGGCTAACTCACAGCTTTTTTTCTTCTTCTTTCTTTCTTCGGTAAGACAAACAAAAAAGCCCCATATCTCACTCACTCGCGAGTTGGTGCCTGAACTGACACCTTCACATGGAAACGGGAAATCACCACTGGAGGGAAATCTGATATTGACAAGCCTTCTCGTTTTTTGTGTGTTATATCTCCGTTAGCATTGGATTAGACAGGACGTTACTTCAAATGATTTTTGGGTCAGCATGGGCAAGATTGGCCAAATGACCCCCTTCTATGCTGTACCATTTCTCTGATTCGATCAAGGGAGTTGTGACTTTTGCATGCTAATCAACCTGTTCAGAGATGTAATTACACTCCTCTCAGAAGGTAGGACTTGACCCCAAACTCCCTGGTCAGAGATAGGGACACCACTACCGTTCCACAAAAGCTGTTCACCTGTTGCTAAATCTCAATTAAAATCAGAAGCATATGGTTTTATTGTGACTGTCCCTGATCAATTTCTGTATTCTGACATCACCAACATAAACCTTAAATAACTTTATTTAATGATGTGTCATGAATTGAAATGTAACTATTAGTCCAGAGAATGTAGCTGGCATACAGACGATATGCCGGTTCCTGGGGGATAGGTGATCCTCATCCACAAATATGTTTTAGTGTAATATCATGCTGTGACTGTACTACCACAGTGGTAGCAACCCTACTTCTGAACCAAGGGGCCCAGGTTACACCTATTCCAGAGGTGTGTAATAACATCTCTAAATAAGTTGATTACAAAATATAGAATAATATCACTTAGAAATAACTGAACATGTTGCCTTAAGAGACGGTGCTTATTCTTCACATTAAAGTTGGATTTAAAAAGAAACATTTCTGAAATGGAAAACTTCTCAGATAGCAATGAATAATTTAAATAAAATGCAAGGGACTTTTATAATGGTAAGTTAGAAACTTAGAATAACAATTAGTTTAATGCAAACCGACAAAATATAATTGGTAAAGTGACCGCACTCCTACCCAACTGAAAAGCTGTTCTTTCATTAGAGAGAGTCAGCTGGTGGTGGTTTAACTTGAGGGTCACCATGCCTCAGGCAAGGGGAGAGGTTGAGAAAGAGGGTAATGGAATGATGGAACCCATGTTGTTGGCATTACATTGTATTGCAAACCAAAACAAACCAATGTAGTGTAGCACAAATCAATAGGTATTCAAGGTCAGAAAATTATCAACTAATGGAATGCCAGTCTTGATAACTGGAGGATGGAACACCAGAACATAAATGTTACTCTAGAGCTATACAAAACTTTGGTCAGACTGTTCCTGGAAAGCTGGGAATTGCTCAGGACAGCATGGCTTAAGAAGGATTTTTTTAATAGAATCCCTGCAGTGTGGAAACAGGACCTTTGGCCCAACAAGTCCATACTGACCCTCAGAGTGTCCCACCCAGACCCAATCCCCTATAACCTACTTAATCTACATATCCCTGGACACTATGGGCAATTTAGCATGGCCAATCCACCTAACCTGCACATCTTTGGACTGCGGGAGGAAACCAGAGCAAACACATACAGATACAGGGAGGACGTGCAAACTCCACACAGAGGGTGGAATCAAACATGGGCTCCTGGTGCTGTGAGGCAGCAGTGCTAACCACTGAGCCACCGCGCTAGATATTTTGGTGTTGAAGTGTATTTTTGAATGATTCTTGACCTCCAAATGTTAAATTACACAGAAACATTAAATAAATTAAACTTGTATTCTGAGATATGTAGAAGCTTTCAAGTTATTTAGGGGAAGAAACAGGCTATAGAGAAGGAAACTAGTTCTGCTTGGAGGTCTATGATTGGGTATAACTGAAAGATCACAGCCTGACCTGTTAGGAGGGAATTAGGAAAAACTTCCATTGAGAAAGGTTGACAAAATTTTGAAATTCACCTCAGCAAATAGTAAATGATGCAGATCAATAGTTGATTTTACATCTGAGCATGAGAGATTTTTGTTTCTCTATGGTATTATAGGATAGGGGACAAACATAGGTATATGGAGTTAGATTGTGAACCAGCCACACTCACAAACAAAATGGACCAAGCCCCAGGGGATGAACGGCTGAGTCTGGTTTCTATACTACCATGTTCCAGCAGAGTATAACAGAAACCACGAGTGCGATGTTAATCAGTTGAGTATAAAACAAACCAGTAGAGATTAATACAGTAGCATAATGCAAGGAAAATAGATCAGTACGTAAACATAACATTTGTTGTATGGAGTTTTAGCAATGTCCCAAGTACTAAAAAGACTAAGATAAACTCATTAACTGAACCATTGAATTAGCTTGTTCTTTGCAAAACTTATATCAGGGACAGAAAGTTGCATTTAACTATAATAGAGCATGATATTGGGCACTGTGTATGATGGGCAGCAAAACCAAAAATGTCAATTTGCTCAATTGTCTGAGATGAGTTTCTACCCAAAGTTTTCTCAAACCTTTCTGAAAGTAGCACCTCTGAATAGCATTTAAACAACAAAACACATGCATAGCACTATCCAAATCCACAATGCACAGTCAGAGAACTACAGAGCTATAATGTGAAAGATTTAATTATATAATTTATTCATTAATTGAAGCTATTTTATGAATGTACAGTTAACAAAAATGCAGTTTTGTGGTGTAATTGCATTTTAAATATCTGTTTAGGATGTACACTTAAGAGTGAAACATCCAAATCTGAAACTGTCATGCAGCTCAGAGCTTGTGTAAGTTCCAAACTTGATGAACTGCAAGTCTAAATTCCAAAACTATATTCAAGAATGTCGTTATGATGCCAGTTTTCTGTCAGCACAAAATACTCTCAATGGCTTATGATGTTACAAACTTCATAAGAGTTACTTTTTGTGTTATTTGTGTTTTATTCAGTTATTGCTTCGCTGTCAATGGTTGCAGCTGGCTCAAGAAGGAGAAGGAGAAGGTGACCTATTGTCACAGTCACTGGGGATGACTTTGATACGTCGTAAATAGCATATAAATTAAAAAATACTAATTACTGATGAATTGCTGTGTATCATGGCCTGAATTCCTTGTATTTGGTTCCTGATAGCCATGATGTGGAAGTACTGGTGTTGGACTAGGGTGAACAAAGTCAGAAGTCACACGACACCAGGTTATAATCCAACAGGTTTATTTGGAATTACGCAAGCTTTCAGAGTGCAGCCCTTACGTCAGGTCCAGTGAGAGAGCAGGGCACACCGACACAGAGTTTATAGGCAGCGAGATCAAAAGATCATACAACTGGTGTGAGTGGAGAGTCAGATAATAAGTCTCTGCAGGTGACCAAGAGTGTTAGACAGTGTGTAAAGTGTTTATAAAGTCAATGTCAGTGCTGCGTACTGTAGACAGTGTGCAACAATTGCCATAGAGGGACATTCCCTCCCAGTCAGGGAACACCTCAGCGGTCAAGAGCATTCAGCCTCCGATCTTCAGGTAAATGTCATCCAAGGCAGACTCTGAGATACATAACAACGTAGAATTGCCGAGACTGATAGCCAACTTTTGTACCCATAAAGACGGCCTCAACCATAATCTTGTGTTCATGTTGCGCTACAGGTGACCCCACCACACTCTTTCTCACACACACGCGCACACGCGTGCACACACACACACACATGCACATACACATGCACACACGCACACACACACACACATGCACATGTGCACACACAGACCTTCTCTCACAGAAACACATGCACAAAAACTCTCACTTTCGCACATATACTCTCTCACACTCACACACACTCTATCTCAAGCTCACACACACACAGACACACAGACACACACACACAGACACACACACACACTCACACATGCACTCTCTCTCCCACACACAAACATACATAAATGTATGCGGTGAATCATTTCATCCAAGATGTTTGTTTACTTGCAAATACATTCTATTTTGTTTAAAAACCCCACAATTTTTAGTCACAGTCAGTCAGTGTGGCATCTTATAAATTCCAACTTTTGGAATAAGCCCGGCCTGATTCCAGGTTAAAACTCTAAGACTGATTCTGAACAAAACCTCACCTACATTCAATGGCTGACCTAAGATGTCACCTTTGTATATTCTGTGGCTCTGCCTGATTGCCATGATAACACAGCACTGACACTGACTTTATAAACACTTTACACACCATCTCATACACTTGGTCACCTGCAGAGACTAATTATCTGACACTCCACTCACATCAGTTATATGATATTTTGATCTCCCTGCCCTTGATCTCTCTGCCTATAGATTCTGTGCCTGTGTGCCCTGCTGTCTCACTGCACCTGATGAAAGAGCTGTGCTCAGAGAGCTGGTGTGATTCCAAATACACCTGCGATAGGTTTTTCTTAACTTATAGAACATGAAGTTTGCTGTAAAGAGCTGTATTTTTGGCCATCCTTCACTGTGCTGGAGAAATGGTGGTGAACTATCTTCTTGAATCACTGCAGTCCATGTGTTAGTTGGGAAAGGATTTTTCAGGATACTGACCTAATGACAGTGAACAAACAGCAGCACATTTCCAAATCAGGATGGTGTGTAATTTGGAGGGGAACATAGTATAGGCAGTATTTCCATGCATCAGCTGTCCTTTGTCCTTCAGGTGGTGGAGGCTGCATGTTTGGAAAATGTTGTTGCAGGAGCCTTGATAAGTTGCTGTAGTGCATCTTGTAAATGGTATAACCTGTTACCACTGCAATCTGGTGGTGAAGGAAGTGAATGTTTAAGGTGGTGGAATGGGATGCCATTCAAATGAACTGCTTTATTCTGAATGATTTTGAACTTCTTGAGTGTTATTGGAATTGATTGTCTTCCTCCAAGGAAGTGGAATATATTCAATCACATTCCTGATGTAAGCATTGTAGATGGTGGATGGGTGTTGGGAGTCTGAGATGATTTACTTCCTGTAGGAATCCAAGTCTCTGACCTTCTCTATAGCCACAGTATTTATATGATTG